AAAAAGCGTATTTTCAAAATTTCAAAAATACATATCAATCTCTGTTTCGTTGCAAGTTCAATGTTATATAACATTTGGCATTTGAATGATCCGTCTTAGAGTTACAGCCCGCCAAACTTAGCGCTGCAAAGCAAGATCCAAAAAATGTTATACACCATAACTCAAAAAATATTATCTGATAAGGCTGAAATTGTTGTCTGCCGACCAAGAGTGCGAAGCCGCCTTCCAAGGAGCGGAACCGGAACACGAACCAGTTCAGAAGATGGCTACCAGGTTCCACTCGATCCTCCAACAGGCTAGTGTTGCCCACGTACCAAGAGGGGCACGAGCCGACGCCAAACCCTGGGCTCTGGACCCGGAGCTGGAGGAGGCAATCGAAGACAGAAGAGCGGCGAGAAGAGCCATGGGGACCCCCACAGGGACCCCCAGGCCAAGGCACGTTGGATCGAGGCCAAGAGACGCGCCGCTTCCATCGAGCGCCGCGTCTCTCAACGACACTTCAGAGACTTCGTGTCGAAGGACCTCAACAAACACCAGAGCCTCGGGCGGGTCCACAAGATATTGAAGATGTGGGAGGGAGCGTCAGATGACAACCACAGAAAACAAGAAACCATGGAAGACAACGGCCGCACCCTGGTGACGGACAGGGACAAGGCAACGGCGTTCAACCGCACGTACGCCTACGTTTCCAGACAGGTGCGAGCCAAGTCCATCGATCGCCGGGCCAAGAAACAGCTGAAAGAAGCCGAAGTCCGCACCTGCGTAGAGTGCAGGGGTAACAGAACGGGTTGCTGCTCACCGTTCACGGAGGAAGAACTGCTGCGTCAAATCTCCAGCGCCCAACTGAAGAAGTCGCCAGGACCCGATGACCTGTGCAACGAGCACCTCAGACATCTGGGTCCGGTGGCTCGCAGAGCTCTGCTCCGTCTCATCAACGCCTCGTGGCTTACCGGACTGGTCCCGTGGCAATGGCGGCGTGCCGTCATCGTGCCCATTCCCAAGCCCGGGAAGGACCAACGGCTCATAGCAAGTTACCGCCCGATTGCCCTGACATCCCACATCGCTAAACTGGCTGAACGACTCGTCGCGACTCGACTAAACCACATCATCGCAACCCGAAGCATGATCCCGCCTGAACAGGTTGGCTTCAGAGAGAAGCGGGGTGTGGAGGATGCCATCGCTCGTCTAACCCAACAAGTTCAGGACGGATGGCAGCTGAAGCCGTGCCCCCCATCCCGGAGACAGCTGCCGGACGGTGAGTCGGCGCAGAGATTCGTCCTCGTTGCGTACGACTTCGCACGAGCGTACGATAAGGTGGACCATCGCCTCCTGCGTGCCCGGCTCGCTGAGATGGGAGTACCGGCGTGCTTCAACTCCTGGGTGTGGAGCTTCCTCAGAGACCGGCGGGCTTGTGTCGAGCTCAACGGAGCAAGGAGCGGCGAGCGCGTCTACAGGGCAGGGCTGCCCCAGGGCAGTGTTCTGTCCCCGACCTTGTTTTTGTTGTGGTCGGCTCCACTAGCGTCAACCCTCCGAGCCCTGCCGGGCACTACTCCGTACATGTTTGCGGACGACACCTCCACACTGTGCTCGGGTAACACGATTGAAGTCGCGCGGGAGCGGGCACAACGAGCGGCCGATACCCTGGTCAAGTGGGCCCGGGAGAACAAGATGGAGGTGGCGGGCCAGAAAACCCAGCTTCTAGTTCTGTCTCAGAGCCACCGGGACGCCGTCGGTTGCCGCATCCGTGTGGCGGGCCAGACGGTGGAAGGAGGCCCTGAACTGAAGTTACTCGGCGTAACGCTGGACAGGACTCTGGGGTTCGGCCCCCACTGCAGGAACCTCCGCCGCCGCGTCCGCCCTCGCATCTCTCAACTACGACGAATCACCGGTCGCAGCTGGGGCCTGGAGGAGAGACAACTCCGGGCCGTCGCCAACGGCTACGTTAGGGGAGCCATCGAACACGCGGCGGCCGCCTGGATGCCGGCGGCCGCCAGGACTAACATAGAAGTTCTGGAACGCGAGATGCGTGCCGCGGCCCGAGTCATAACGGGCTGCATCGGGTCGGCCCCCACGCACGGAGTAATGGCCGAAGCCGGCGTGGCCCCGGTCGCGGCGCGCCGCACGGCACTGGCGGCGAGGATGCTGGCGAAGGCCATGGCACTGCCCGAGGAGGACCCGCTACACCGACTGGCCGTGGCGGACCCACCGCGGCGCCTCAAGACCGTCTGCGGATGGCGCCAGTTGGGTCGGGAGGTGTGGCGGACCCTTGGAGTGGAGCCACCGGTGGAGCCGTTGCTCCCCGTGCGCCCCCCGCCCTGGCAACCAACCGGCACGATCAGTTTTAACCTGGACATCGGAGCGGGGCTCCCAGCCGGAGCTGCCGCCTCCACGAAGAAGGAAGCCGCCCTACACCACCTGGCGTCCCTGACCCAATGTGCGACCTGGGTGTGGACCGACGGGTCGGCGACTGGAGGCGTTCTCTGTGGGGGGGCCGGCGCGCTGGTCGTCCACGCCGATGATGACCGCACTGAGCTGAAGAGGCCCGCAGGAGCGCTCTGTTCCAGCTTCAGGGCGGAGATGCTGGCCATCGCAATGACCCTGGAACATCTGGCGACACACCCTCGTGACGACACGCTGCCAATAATAATCTGTACCGACTCACAGTCTGCCCTGGCTGCACTGAGAGAGGGGCCTTCGGCCCAGAGGACGGTCCAGGGGGCGGAGATATGGAGCCGCCTGCTGGAAATCGCCACACCGGACCGCCACGTGACGCTGCAGTGGGTCCCATCGCATTGTGGGATCCCAGGCAACGAGGCGGCGGACGTGCTGGCGGGGGAGGCGGCGGCGCTGGATCAAGAAATCGCCTCCATCGACGCCAACACCGTCTACAAGGCTGCGGCCCGTCTAGCCAGGGACCAGGCGGCCAGGGACAGACCGTCATACCCAGACCCGACACGCAGAGCGGCGACCGGCTGGTACCGGGAGCTGATGGGTACGAGATACCCGCCCCCGGTCTCCGGCCTGGAGCGGCGGACAGCCATCGATGTCCACCAGATCCGGACTGGCCACTGGAGTGGATCGACCCAGTTCCTGCACTCCATCGGCCGGAGCCCCTCAGCCGCCTGCGCCCAATGCCGGGACCTGCTATGCGAGGCCGCCCGGTGCCCGCTGTGCGGCGAAGAGGCGGACACCCCCCGGCACATCCTGCTCACGTGCCCGGGCCTGATGGGTGTTCGCCTCAAAATCCCGGCTGTAGGGAACATCCTACCAACACCCGACGAGGTCTGGCGCAGTGACGTGGTGGCGGCCCTGGTGGCCGCCTTCAGGGCCCTCCAGAGCCGATGAGGCTACGCCGCGGGGCCACCCGCGGCCGGAGGGAAAATCAACAACAACAACAACCAAGAGATATCTGTTTATTAGAAATATTATTGAAACCACAACATGCAGACATTGCGATCGTACAGATACTATAGAACACTTTTTGTTCCGTTGTGACAAAGTTAAGCCACTATGGCCCTTCCTGTTTGATAAAATCAATGAAAGATCCCTGAGTACCGTCGATAATGTAATATTTGGAGCTACGAGTAAAGGCTCAGCCATAAATTTACTTATTATTCTCACTAAGCAGCACATTGTACAGTGTAAACTAGGAGAGAACTCAATGGTGCCATCTGTGCAAGGTCTGATACATTTCATTTGCCATCAAATTGAAATTGAGAGAAATATAGCGGCACGTAATGATAAACAGCAGGCATTCTCCAAGAAATGGTCCCATATGCTGAACGAGAATGGGTGCTTTACTTTGTTCACAGAAAGGCGTCGATAGTAAAAGAATGTACGATAAAGGTCGAACAGAGCCGAGCCGGCGCTGAAGAGCTGCCGAGAGTTTGTATGTCATGTCGCCAGGAGCGACGAGGACCCATCCGGGCCAACCCGTGCCTGGCCTCCCATCATATGCTGGGGGGCTGGGCCGCCGGCCCGCCGCGCGGACCGCCAAACCGGCTCGGCTGGTGGGCGGGTCGGCGGACAGGGGCGCCGCCTCGCGAGATGGCAGCATGGGGCGCGAGGCGGCGCGGGCGGGGGCCGGCGGCCCGTCTGGGGCGCCGGGGTGGCTCACAGTCTCCCCGGCGGGGAGGTTACCTACAGATCTCCCCGGGGTTGCGCCTCCCCGGCTTGGCCGGGCGGGCCGCACGGCACGGTGCCCGTAGTGGGGCATGCTTTGAGGTGCTGAGGTCGTAGTGTGGGGAGGGGGACTGAAGAATGGTAATAGCGGGGCGTGTGTTGAGTATGGAAAAATTGATGTAATGATGTGGTGTCTTGTTTCATTCTGTTGTGTTTCAATGTGCTCAATAAATTGTGTTCCCGGAAAAAAACCTGAAATTGTTACAGGTGGATTCAGAGCCCCTGATTACCCCTGAGACCAATTCTCGTCAAATTCCGAGAGATGAGGGTGTCAAATTGGAAAAAGTGGTACTATCTATCGTGGAATGCCCCAGCTGCTACTCCGGTACAGTGTCCATAAGCATAGGAACAGGGTGGGGGGCGGGGGAGGCATGACTCCCCAACTTTTTAGTCATTGTTTTAAGAAAACCCTCTACTTTTTATTTAACTACAAAACTAAGAGCAGGAAATGATTCAGCAATGTGAGATGAGCACGAAATTGCAAAAAAATTTCATAGGGGTATTGGGGCTCCCACAAAGTGACATTGAAGTTTCGCTGGCCCCCCACTTGTCTTGAGGTTTCTACGCCCATGGCAGTGTCCAATAGCCGCTACTCCAGTACAGTGCTAACTAACCGCTACTCCGGTGCACTGTTACGGGCAGCCCCGCAGCACAGCACGCCATCGTCTTCTGAGTCCAGATGGACTCAGTGCGGCCGGTACGGGCGCAGCCTGTGCCCTCACAAAACTGGACGGCACCGCAGTGGTGTATCAGTGCACCGGAGGAGCTCACTTCCAGTGCGAGCGCTGACTGACAGGCCACCCGGCGTCCGTCGACAGGCTACGAACGAGACCAACGAGGCTCTGCTGAAGGCCATCAACGCCGCCGGCCGGATCCACATGGTGCCCTCCATGCTGCGCGACACGTACATCCTGCGGTTCGCCGTGTGCGCGGCCAGCACCGAGGAGCGCGACATCGAGCTGGCCTGGGCCGAGGTGGAGCGCCAGGCCGGCCGACTGCTGCCGCCGCCCTGAGCGCCGCCAGTACCTCGGCCGGCCGACCGCTGCCGCCGCCAGTACCTCGGCCGGCCGACTGCTGCCGCCGCCAGTACCTCGGCCGGCCGACTGCTGCCGCCGCCAGCACCTCGGCCGGCCGACTGCTGCCGCCGCCAGTACCTCGGCCGGCCGACTGCTGCCGCCGCCAGCACCTCGGCCGGCCGACTGCTGCCGCCGCCAGCACCTCGGCCGGCCGACTGCTGCCGCCGCCAGCACCTCGGCCGGCCGACTGCTGCCGCCGCCAGCACCTCGGCCGGCCTACTGCTGCCGCCGCCAGCACCTCGGCCGGCCGACTGCTGCCGCCGCCAGTACCTCGGCCGGCCGACCGCTGCCGCCGCCAGCACCTCGGCCGGCCGACTGCTGCCGCCGCCAGCACCTCGGCCGGCCGACTGCTGCCGCCGCCAGTACCTCGGCCGGCCGACTGCTGCCGCCGCCAGTACCTCGGCCGGCCGACTGCTGCCGCCGCCGGCACCTCGGCCGGCCGACTGCTGCCCCCGCCAGTACCTCGGCCACCCTCCCGCCGCCCCCTCCCTCTGCCACGCCCCCTCCAGACCAACGCTACCAATCTCGCTCAACGATTACTGGCTCGGTAAAAACGTACTCAGTTTTGTGTCTGGTGGCACAAGCTTGCTTGGAGTTGTGTTCCCGACGTTTGAAGTTTCGACCTCAGTAGAGGCAAAAGGCTGGAACACAGTCTTCAAACGCGTAAATCGCTCCTCACTCTTTTCATTAGAATTCATGGCATATTTTTTTCGCTTCCAACTCGCGGCTTGAGGCGTTGCGAGGTGGGATGAAAAAACGGCATACGCCATATAACCAGTCCAAGAGGAGATGAGAAACTGCTATTTCCAAGCTGTATTCCAGCCTTAAAATGGTTAGCATTAAATTTTCTGTCATCCACCCAGCGCTCCCCTGTCCCGCCTCGTGCCGCCCCTGTCCCGGCGCGTGCCGCCCCTGTCCCGGCGCGTGCCGCTGCGGACCCCGGTCCCGCCTCGTGCCGCCTCTGTCCCGGCGCGTGCCGCTGCGGACCCCGGTCCCACCCCCCGTGTGCTGGTCCGGTCCAGCGCACTCCAGCGCACTATCATTGGACGTGGAGCCATGGCAACGGGCTCAGGCAGGTCATTACCGATTTCCTTTACCAAGGAGCATGATACTTCATACTGTAACAAGTGGGACCAAATGGAAATGCCCATTGGCAAACGTTATAAAATTGGTGTTCTTTTGATTTTGTCGGTGGTAGGTGTAGGGGCTAGATAAGTATGCGTGCTTGCTGTAAATGCTGATTATGAAATTTTCTGTTTTGTAATGCATATTGTTGGTCAGGGAGATCACCTATATAAGGCCGCGCTTGACTGGGGTATTTTCAATAATGGCACCCATCGAGACAGGGGAGAATCATCATCCAATTGGGTGTCTGCACAATCCTTTGTATTCTCATCTCCGAAGGGTGCGCGCAGTTCCCAAACTTCAAAAACCCAAAAGCTCAGAGTGTCGTTTCATACGCCCAGAAAATCTGTTGATCCATAGAGCACACAACTATATATCCTATCGACTGTAGATACACTACATCTATAGTGGATAGATTTATAGTGGATATATCCTATCCACTAGTGGTCTATAGCTGATCAAAATCTAGCTCGGTTGATATGCTGACCAGTCACCAATGACGTCACACTTCATATTGAAGAAGAGATACTCTTATATGAGCATATTTATACTTACCTTGCTAGCAACCACTTAACAGTTTTATCATACTCATTTTGATTGATTGCCGACATCCTTTTGAAAAAAACCTTATTATGAAAATAACTAAAGGAATGCTGATCTTTTGGCTAAAACTTTTTTCTTACAGAGCCGTGCTATTTTGCTGTTTAATCCATATCTACGCTCAGTTTTTCTTAACCCTCCAGGAGGTGGGGGGCATTTTTTGTCCCCCCCCTTTAGTTTTCTTATATATCTCCAGAACCGCTGCGCCGATCGTCACCAAACGTTCAGTACCCTCCCGTGAATAGCTATTGCACATTGTGACCAAAAAGGTTTCCAAAGGCTATGATAGGTTGGCCGCTAATGACGTCGGAGTGACGTCATTTCTGCCACTTTCGACACAAAAACAGGTTTCGCGGGAAGAGCTGACACTACAGGCCTACAGCTTTAGAGATACAGAAAAATGTTTCAGACATAAAAGATGTAGAATTAACAGGGCTACAAAACTGCTATCTCCGATTTATGAAATTTTTTGACTTTGACCCCCAAAAATGAAAAATAGATTTTTTGAATATAATAGCCGAAAACTAAAAAAACGGAAGAAATGTGATAGTCCTCACCGCTTTGTATCCACATACCAAATTTGAGATCGATACCTTTTTTTGGCCAAGTTATAGCGAGATAACTGTTCAAAATTGATGACGTCAAATTTTCAAACTCAATTTTTATCAATTCTAGACCTCGTAGCGCAGAACAAGGACCACCATTAGACTCCCCGTGACAAGCTGCATCGAATCAATACCCATTTAATGCAAAACTATCTATATCTTTCTATCTATCTATATCTATAACTTTGAAATTTGACCTTTTTTTACCTGACCTTGACCTGACCTCCACCAGAAAGTGACCTAAACCGTAACTGATGGTCCTATAACCAACACCATTGAGTTGGAAATGAAAAATTGGCCATAAAACATGCATCGCACAACCTTAGTAAGAATCTTGTACCTTAGTAAGAACCTTGGTAAGAATACCGTCCCAACCTTATCTGTAAGAATCTTGGACTAGTTTTAACAAGTGATTTCTTCCCGATAATTTCCATACGTGCGTTTAGGAACTGAGTATTAGAACAGTGGTGATGTCACACTGTCGAGCTTGTATTCCAATGTAACGTATGACTACCATGGACGGAACCGCTTACTCTGATTATTACCTCGGCAACAGTGCAAAACGAAGTTTACCCCAAATTCGCCGACAATTTGTCCCATCGTACGGACATTGGGTGCCTTCTGCCACCAGTGACGTCATCATAGAAGCTCATTTTTGAGACACAATGTCTAGTTACTTACCGAGCACAATTATTTTTTGCGGAGCACAAAAATCGAATATTTTTGCGGTAAGAAATTCTTGGCCAACTTCGATAATGAACTTGGAGCGTATCCTTAAAAAACTTATAATCAGGCTAATTTTACGTGAAACATCAAAAAAGCTGTAAAATTGACAGTGATTTCCAACGAACCTTACCTTGCGTTAATTCGGCCAACAGTGGTGTCACTCTGATGTTATCTGGGCCAGCAGAGCTTGAGAAAAACGAAGAAAACTCACCCCAGTCAAGCGCGGGTAAATGACTACTTGTTTATGGGTGTGGCCCGTGGTGCAGGTGATCGATGCTGTAGGGAGCAGTGCTGAACAAAGGGACCAATTGTGAAAGAAGGGACCAATGATTACGTGTACCATGAAATGCAATGTTACCGACAGCTGGGGCGTTCCACGACAAATCGACAAATAAAAAATTAAATTTGCACCCTCATATTTTATTCTTCGTTGAAAACTGGTGTAAGGGGTTGTGATGGGCGGGGAAGCCAGCTGTGGCAAGGATTTTTTTCTTCGAACAACGGTTTCCGAGATATAGCCTCGGGCAATTCCTGGAGTTCGCGCTGCAGCCCTATGTTTGGCGGCCTATAACTCAGAAACTATTGGTTTTTTACGATGAAAACTTTATATGGTTCAATTCACAATCAACCAACAAACATTTTGGCTATCTCGGATTTTCATTTTTCGAAAATTTTGATCACGTGACCTTTTGTCCTATTTTTCGAAGAGTGACCTTGATACTTTCCCCACTGAAAGTTGCAATTTTGTCTGATGACGATTAAAGCCTTATCGATTTTCATTCATATGCGATAATAAAAAAAGTGGTTATCGCCCTGCGTTGACCTCAGGTCAGGTCATTTTTATGACCTGTCCATTATTACGAGCGGGAGCGACAGCGAGATCTCGAGAATAAAGCAAGATAGCGACAAGCGGTAAACGGTAAAGGGTACACACGGATAAGGTCTATAATTTTTACTGAAGTCATTTTCAGGTCAGGTCAAAGATGACGTCACAGGAGCTAAAAGGAAGTCAAAATGGCGGCACTATACATATATATGAAGTTTTCTCCAATAACTTTCAAGGTATCCCAGCTAGGAACAAACTAATAGCACCATCGTGATCCTCTCCTCTATCCGCATCGAAACAAATGTATGTTGACCTCGAAAGGTCGAAAGGTCAAAAGTTGACCTTAGGTCACGTGAGCCAAGGTCAACTTTTGACCTTTCGACCTTTCGAGGTCAACATACATATGTTTCGATGCGGATCGACGAGAGGATCACGATGGTGCTATTAGTTTGTTCCTAGCTGGGATGCCTTGAAAGTTATTCGAGAAAAACTTCATATATATGTATAGTGCCGCTATTTTGAATTCCTTTTAGCTCCTGTGACGTCATCTTTGACCTGACCTGAAAATGACCTCAGTAAAAATTATAGACCTTATCCGTGTGTACCCTTTACCGTTTACCACTTATCGCTATCTTGCTTTATTCTCGAGATCTCGCTGTCGCTCCTGCTCGTAATAATGGACAGGTCATAAAAATTACCTGACCTGAGGTCAACGCAGGGCGATAACCACTTTTTTATTATCGCATATGAATGACAATTGATAAGGCTTTAATCGTCATCAGACAAAATTGCAACTTTCAGTGGGGAAAATATCAAGGTCACTCTTCGAAAAATAGGACAAAAGGTCACGTGATCAAAATTTTCAAAAATTGAAAATCCGAGATAGCCAAAATGTTTGTTGGTTGATTGTGAGTTGAACCATATGAAGTTTTATCGTAAAAAAAAAACTAATAGTTTCCTAAGTTATAGGCCGCCAAACATAGGGCTGCAGCGCGTACTCCAAGAATTGCCCGAGGCTATATCTCGGAAACCGTTGTTCGAAGAAAAAAATCCTT